AACTTTGGCTATCAATTGATTTGTGTGCATTTCCTGTGAACCCATACAGTTAAAGGGCACGCTTGTACATGTGTGTGTGTAAGCCAAAATCTGATCTGATCTGATTGACTATGTGGGTTTCTTTGTCTCTGTTTTTGGTTTTGAAATTGTTTAGGAGGGATTTAATTTAATATTTGTGCAGAAATAAGTTTTTTCCAAAAACTTTATTTATTTAATTTTTTTTAGACTTTTGGGTTACTTATTTTCGAATAATTGAAAAAAGAATTTCAATGAAATTAGTTTGAAAGACTTTTTTATAATATAGGAAGGGGGTTGAGGGGAATATATTTTCAGTAAATTGCAATTTTTTTAGTTTTTGAGGAAAAAGTATTGTTTGCGAAAAATTTTAATGAATTTGTATTAGGTTTTTGGTTGAAAATAATCTTTTATTCTTATTATTATTTTTCTAAAATTGTATTAAAGGATTTTTTATAAAAATTGCATTTATAGATTTTCTTAGGTTTTTTAAATTTTGCACAAAACTTAATAATTTCGTAAAATTGCAGAGAAATGTTTATTTTAGTGAAGATTTTTTTTAAATTCTTTAAGGAAAAAAATTTTGAAAATTTTTCGAATTTTTTTTTTTTTTTAAATAATTTCATTCATTCATTTTTCTCGATAAAATTGTGAAAATTTCAAAAAAAAATTTCGATAATGTGCTTTCTATCAAAAAAAATTTTTCCTAATTGTGTATAAAATACTCCCATGTTAAGAAGATAAATGTTTTCGATAAAATTTCAGAAAAACACTACTTTTATTTTTGAAAAAAGAAATTGAAAATTTTCTTAAATTGCGTATAAACAAATCCCATGTAATATTACAATCATGTGCAGGCGCATCCGAAATTTTATTCTGGTTATTATTTTCTCTCAAAAATTCAAAAATAAATATTTGAAAAATTCTACGTACATTCATATGTAGTACAAAAGACACATATGTATACAAATGTAAATAAATACACACATCCATGTGTATATGTATACACTATCCTCATTCAACTATGTATCTGCCATGCAATAAAATTTTCGGCAACTTTTCGTTTCAGTCATGAAAATCAAAATGCAGTCAGTAAAAGCAAACACAAAAACAAAAAACAAAAAAATAAAAATAAGAAAAATTTATTGTAATGGATAAATAAATATTGGTATAGCATGTAGCAACACTGCATGGATCATTTGCCTAAAGCAATATACAATTTACACTTTACTTGCTGTAATAGGGGCGGCAGGAAGTTTGTAAATGTTGGAAAAATAGTGACAGATGGCGATCAGCATGCATTTTCAATAGCGAAATCGAAAATTGGTGGGCAATTGCAATTCACAAACGATTGGCTTTTATGGAGGTGGGAATAAAATTTTAGTGTTATATAAATAAATATATAGGCTTGTAAACAGTTGCGATGACTAAAATGTGTATATGTGTAAACTAGTAAAAAATATTCCTATTCCTATTATACATACATACATACATACATACATATGTACATAGTAGGTAAGTGTGATACAGGTCATTATGTGCGAAGAAAAATAACTTTTATCTCAGAAATTTATATCAGTTCATGAAATATCTGTGTTTTCGTCATAAATAGTGTTTAAATAACTGTTGTAGAGTGTTATAAAAACTGTTATAAACTGTTATAATCAATTTAAAAGTGATAATAGTATGTAAATGAACTCATTTCTCCTATAAACTAAAAATTTGGAAAAAAATATTTTTTGAAAGTGTTATACAAACTATTATAAAATGTTATAAACAGCTGAAAAGTTATAACAATAAATTAATTAATTCACTTCATTTATAAACTGAAAAGCTTGACACAAAAACATTGTTGCCAAGTGTTAAACTGTTATAAAATAAGTAAAAAATTGAGATGATGTTGCAAAAACTGTCATACAAATTTTACAAATTCTGATGTTATGTTATAAATGCCTGTAAACTGTTATTCGTAAGCAAATAAAGTTAACTCACTTAAAAGTTAAAAATACTGTTCAAGAGTGTTATACTATATCTGTCCTAACGTTTAACAAACAATTAAAAAAATTCACATTTGGTTTCAAAAGGTTTTCATTCATTACTCTGTTCCAATCATTACAGTTTGAAATATTTTAAGCTTTTAAATATTTTTTAATAAACTCATAACAGTTACATAACAGTTTTATTTCTACCTATGTGTATTTATATAAGCTTTTTAAAAGCTTTTCATTAAAATGTTGCAATTACTTATGTATTATATTATTGTATAACAGTTTGAAATCACGAATATATATATTTTTTATTAAAAATTATAAAATTTGTAGAAAATAAAGGATTCGCTCACAACCAAATATAATTTACTAAAGCGTAATTTTGTACTTTGGATAACAGTTTGGCAGCATAATAAAATAAATTTTTGCTATGAAAATTAATACCTACTTTTGTAGAAATTAAAGATACTCCGGGGAAGCTAAATATATTGTTGTTTTAAAAATTCGTTTAAGACTTATGTAGTATAACAGTTAGCTGTATGAAATTTTTATTAAAGGTGTTTGGTTTAATGCAGTAGTTGAAAATTTATTGGAAATTTGCACACATTTCACCAAATTTGCTCATTTCCCAACTTTTATATAATTTAAACCACCTTTCCAATTTCAACGCCTACATGTATGCTAACATTATATCAATATTCAATTCACTACACTCGTGTATACTATATATTCAACGTATAATTCACTGCAACAAATCTTAGTGAGCATAAAAGTAATCCGGCCCATTGAAACAATCCTTGAAACAACGCCTAAAAGTATGCAAGCACCAACAGCTGTTAGCATGAAAATCGAGAAAATAGCACACAAAAAAAAGCAAAGAAAAACAATTTAAACGAGGCGTTGAATGCGCTGCAAAAATGCTTTCGCTATTTCGCCGTTACAAAGCGCTTGCAAGCACGCCTACAAGTATGCTTGACTTAGCAAGGATTTTGAGTGTACTTTTTTGCTTTTAAACCGAAACTGCGGATGGCGAGGCGTGAGTTTTAGAGTTTTGTCTATCTTTTTTAGCTTTGTGCGGTTTTAGAAATTTTGAAAGCATTCAGTAAGACTTCTAATTAAAAAAGCTTTGAGGAAAAAACTGGAAAATCAATGATGGCGGTTTATGGGTTTACATAAAAAGTTTTCAGTTTTGAGAAAGTTGCTTCTATCTGAATATTTTTATAAATATTGCATTCGAGAATATATAAAACTATATGCAGAAAAAAACTTTATAAGAAACATATTTTATTAATTCTTCGAACACCATTTGGATATTCTCCGAACTTCATAAAAATAATACCAAAAATTACTTTTGAGGTTTTTTGAACTTAAAAAAAAAAAAAACAAAAAAAAAGCTAAAATTGTTAGGACATTTTTTTTAGGGTATTTCCAAGGAAATTTCGGGAAAATTAATAGTTCCAAAAAAAAAACCTAATGTATATATAAAATTGCTTCCGATCCTCTGGAGGACGTTTACATGGGTCTGCGGGTTTCAAAAAATAAATTTTTATAGTCTTATTAAATCCTAAAACACCTCTAGAATATTGTCCCAAGTTTCCAAGTTGTTCCGGGTAATAGTTTCGGAGATACAGCTTTGAGAACTTGTACATCCGTTGCTAGCTAGGCTAAGTGCGGCGTCTTTTTTCTCAAAACTGTGGTTTTGAAGTCGCTAAAAATACAATTTTCAGTTTTGTTGTTCCTTCTTCCAAGTTCTAAGCTAAGGTTCGTATATTTTTCACTTTAGATGATCCTTTTAGCAGCAAAATTCTAATAAAATATTTAAGTTTTTATTGAGAAAAAATTGTTGCAAAAAGTCTGCTTTACTTTAATATACCTTTTTATTATTTCAATATTGCTTTTCAATTATTATTTAAAATTTTTAACATTTTTTATAACCTACTTATATACAATTTTAATTCTTTTGATGATTTCTTTTTTCAATTTTTCCAATAATATTTTTACTTCTAAATATTTTTTTCTTTATTGGCGATATGTATTTTTCTAAAACACACCAACGTTTGGTTTATTATTAGTA